TATATTATATATATATATATATATATATATATAATATAATGTTAGCGTGATATATAATTTTAATATATGTTAAATTTAATGTATGTTTTGTAAATATTATTTATCACAGTTTAAAATGGGTTTTTCTAATTACTCAACAATTAAAATAATATTATTTTTGTAATTTACACAATTTGAATGAAAGAATAATTATTACAAAACTTTGTTAAATATCACACTCAATAATTATTTTAAATATGGCAGCGGCCATTTTCTCGCATACACCGGAAACCTTGTCGGACGCAAGCGTCACTATCTCGATAAGTGTCGGTTCACAATAGGTGATTTAAACTTTAAGAAGTAAGAAATTGACCAATCATAATCGAATTTGAATAAAATAATTGACTATGATTGGTCAATTTCTTACGGCTTAAAGATTAAATATCTATTGTGGACCAAGATTAAAGGTCTATCTACAATGGAAATACAAGTAATGAGTAAGGAGTAGAATATAGATAGATGTAGAGTTTTACTCCGTTCCTGTCTACAACAGACAGAAAATGTAATAATCAGCCAATCAACGAGTAGACAGTATAAAGAATTATAGTAGAAGACAGTATTTTATTGGTCGTACAATAAGTTCTAAGCATGCTGACATTCGCTGTAAAATAAAGAATTTCTGGAGATTTTAATAAAGTCTGTAGAATCTTTAGAAATTCTGGTGCTGTTATCATTTCAAATGTTTCAATATGTTCAATGTTTTCAATATTGATCGTCACTGCGTATTTTGTTGAAGAGAAAGATTATGTTATAACAAGATATCTCATTGCAAAAAAAGAAAATATAATTATACATGTGTAGTTGTACAACATTTAATTTATAATGAGAAATCAGCAATCATTCTTCCGTAGATTGGATTTTCTTGTGCTTAAATGTAAACGAATATTTAATGTACGCAAATAATGCAAAGTAAATTGTTATTAATTATATATATTTAATATATTTAATTATATATATTTATTATATATTTTTAATTATATATATTTTATTTATAATATCTTTGGCACATATATTTATTTGATCTATATTTGATCTATTTGTACTTTTATTTTTTCAGATATAATAGAAGAACAATCTTTGCTGTTGGTTGACTCATTGTCTGCAAGACCTATTGTGCATTACTTGCTTCTTTTTTTTATACTTTAATTTTAGCAATAGAAGGAAGTTGCATTTGAGACTTTGTTTGAATTTGCTGCTGAAATCTCTTTGAGATTGAAATGATATATTTGAAGATTCAGAGACGACAGAATCACATGATCATATCATTGTCTGAAAATAAATACATTTATTGTTTACATATGAACATATATGAACATATATGAGCATATTTTTTATATTATTCATCACATAATGCAACACATACTAGATAATGATGCATACAAATCTAGTGCACAGTTAGCGTCTGTGTAGTTGTAATATAATTGTGAGTTTCATAATTTGTGACACAAATATTTGAAATTGTGCGGTTGACTACATTGATTTGATTTTAAAGATGTAGTCTTCATATAATTACTGTTACTTCTGTCAACAATAATATATAATTTATAATATTGCTCTGAATGATAATGTTTTGACATCATACTTGAGATAGATAATCAACATATTTTTGAGATATGATATGATATAATAACTATACGAAAGAAAACTATCACATATTTCAATTGCCATTTAGGAACATATATGGGTTGTGCACCCAGATTTTCCTTTTAAGGATAACTTTAAGGATAACATTTTAAGGTAATAACTTTTCGTCGTTCCTTTCCGTCTGTCGTATCTTATAAAGTTCCTTTTCAGCATCTGGATCTGTAAACATTAACCAGTATTATAACTTCAATTCTTGGTAGATAGATATAGCACATCAAAAATACGATATTATTACCAGACATATCTCCGAGCATTGCAGCCACAGAAGCCCATGCAAGTTTTTTATTAAATTTCTTGCCAGAATATGTCTTTTGTCGTTTGTCTCACGAAGGATTAATTTTAACAATGTCAATAAGTTCTTTTTAATATTTAATTGTAATTTGACTCCAACATCTTCATATTCTTCAATATCATCAATGCCACACAATATTCATCATTCATTTATTCATATATCATTTACAAATTATATTGCACAAAATGCACTTGTACAATGTATGTTGACACAGTCATCGGCAAATATATTTTTCGCACGCCTTGTCTTATTACCAGCATCATCTGTGATTGGCTGGAAGTAAAGCAATAAAGTATAGAAAATGGGAATGAGTCATTTTACTTACTTCCAGAGTTACGCCGATAAAACTCTCTTACTTCCTTTTCGTGCAGTCTTACTCCATTGTAGATGGACCTTAATGAGTGCGGTCCACTTAGCGCTACAAATGCTCCGAATTGTTTGGAACGTCGTTTTATCCGGTCCACTTGGCACTTCGAAGCGTTCCAATAGTACATATGACGTCATTAATACGTCATAGATTTTCACTTCTAACTCGCTCCCAACGCTACTTGGAGAGATAGTATGATTGAAGCGTACAGTTTGAATGTAAAAAACGCGGGAAAGCTTAACGAACGAAAACGTATATCGTGGTAAGTAGTGTGGCGATCTGATTTATTTTTGCGTGTAATGTTTCTATTATTGGAATTTTTCAAAATTATTTTTATTGTATATTACATCTGTATTGGAATTTTTCAAAATTATTTTTATTGTATATTACATCTGTATTGTAATTTTTCAAAATTATTTTTATTGTATTGCATCAAATATTTAGAGATAAAATGTCAATCATAAAATTAGGAAGGAGATATAATAAAAGAATAATTTATAACATAGAAGTTTCTGAAGAGAATGCTGTTAAGACTAACCAAAATAATGTTATAATGATCTATAATGATTTACATGTAATTTTATTTTAAATAAGTTAAAAAAAATAAATGTCTTATTTTTTGAGATATGTGCAATTATTTGTTCTGAAATGTTTTCGTTATCTTCATAATTATAAGATAGTGGTGCTAAAAAAATCTTAACGACATAAGCTAATATAACTTTTATCTCATCAGAATTCATGATTGCAGAATATATGTTTGTAAACACAATTCCGACTATTTTAACACTACAAACCGATCCACTTCTGTAGTGTTGGCAACATTAGTAGCGCTAATGGGCCATTTTACGAAAGCAAATAAAAGCAAAAGCATCTGAAATATTTGTAGCACTGAATGAACCGTACTCAATAACATGTTAGCAATCTAGTTTAGTATAGACATCTATGGGCAGAATGGATCTGTAATAAACCTCCATGGTGGACCTCTAATAAACGTCTATTAGAAGTTCTTATTCCGTGGGGAAAGCTTTTATAATGATATTTAAAACATAAAATTACATTACTCACCCATCTTCGAGGAAAAACAATAAGTCGCGGAATACTAGAGAGACTGCCAATGGAGCTGGATAAAACTTTCGGAATAATGGCGTTTTAAATCTATATTTCGATTCAATTTCATGATTCTTAAACATTTAATTATAATTATGTGGATGATTCACAAATCTTTTTAATGACACTTCATACAAGATAATTCTTCATACAAAATACAAACGATTTCATACAAAAATTTTAATTTATGTTTAGCTAATTATTTCGGTCAACGGTATTAAAATAATCAATTATTAAATTTAAAGTTAATTATAATTAACTGAGTAACTCACAAAACTTTTACTCAAATTAAATAAAAAACTCTAATTAAATACATACGAATATTGTTTCTGTAAAAATTTATTTATTGGTATGATATTAGATATTGAAATACTAGTTAGAATGGATTTCTCGTAAAATAAAAGATTAAATAAAATAAAAGACAAATAAATGACAAAAGTTAAAGTAAAAAAACAAAATTTATTCAGCTGTCTTTTATAATTAAGGAGAATGGTTACGGTGA